TTCATACATGTTTTTCTTTTTCTTTTCTTTTCTTTTCTTTTTTTTCCCACAGAACCAGAAGTTGAACTCAGGCCTTTGAGCTTGCCAGGCAAACGCTTATTCTACTGAGTTAACTCCCTAGCCCCTTGTTTCTCTTTCTTACCCCATATCTAACCCTCCATCCCACCCAGCCTGGTCATCCTACAAGGCCCACTCAAGCGTTACTGCTCCTGTGACTGCTCTGAAGAGCTTTCCCTACCCCCTCCCGCTCTGCCAGTGCTACCACCAGGATGAGAGCTCCCAGTTACCAGGTATCATAGCACACTGTATCTCATATTAACTATAGCAATCACAATTTGGCAAATCCTAATTAAATAATCACCGTTAATTTGTTGGGCATTGTTATGGTTTATATCCAGGTGTCCCCCAAGAGCCTTATGTATTCACAGGCCAGGATTTTGGATAACTTGAATTTTCCAGTTCTTAGCCAACAGAGTTTTCTTACAGCCTGACCAGCTTGTATAAGGGATAAAATCTTAGTTTAGAGAAAAGAGGGTTTATTGCAAAATAGGAAAGACAACCCAAAGAGGCGCCGGGTTGCTCAGAGGAGTGCCCAAGTGACTGCTTCTCAGGCTCCTTCTCTGCATTTTGCCAGGCTTCCTGCCTTTGGGGCATTCTTACCCGCTGCTTACATATGTTTAAACGAAGAAAGTTTCTCTGATCAGGTCTTCTTAATATTCCCACCCTTCCTGCCTTTACAGTACTCTCTGCCTTCCTCTAGTATATATAAAGAGGGAAGTTTGTCTCCAGCATGGAAAATTTCCTTCTGCCCCACAGGAGCCTCCTCCCCCCACTGCTCTTATCCAGCTACCTACAACTGCACCATAGGGGCACCTAAGTGGTGAGCTGTTAGGAGGCAGGGGCTGCTGAAAAAAGAAGGGTCAACGTGACCATGGCCTGGAAGGGCTTCTCCACCTACCTAGATCTTTCACCCCCGCTGCTTTCCTCTGCCAACCCACTGTGCCATTTCACTTCTGCCCTACAGCATGCAGACTGGCACTGTGGACTATCTGCCTGATCTAATAAATCCCCTTCTATAAGTTCATATGTAGTGGCACAGCACCTGGCAGTAAGTGCGAGGCCCTGAGATTGATTCCCAGTACGCCAAAAAAAAAAAAAAAAAAAAGGTTTTAAAACCTTTTCATCTGGCCATTTCCCTAGCTAGCTCCTTATCCATAGGCTAACTAAATAAACTTTTTTACACTACTGTGTTCCTAAACTATGTCTACTATGAGGGTCCTGAATAGAATATTTCTTGCTGTGCTTTAACAAATGTCATTGAATAATTTTCTTCTTTAATATCGATACGTTTTGAATGTTTACAGCAATATATGTACTTTATACACTTCATATTAATATTTTAAAATATCAAAAGGGATATACAGAAAAAGCATGTGGTACTGGAAAGTTGGAGTCAGTCTGGGCTGGTTGCTGCTCTGGGTTGTGTGGTGGTTTTGCCTCTTGGATGCTCCCCAGGAAGGTTCACTGGGAGGCGGGGGATCCCCAGACAGGGCTGAGTCAGAAAGAAATGGTTTCTAGCAGCCATTTTTATTGAAAAAGAAGAAAAAAAATACTGTAAACAAGGCTAACTTTCATAAAGATAATACGCTTGGGAGAGGTGCAAGCAGGCAGAGGCAGAAGTGGCGCTGTCAGTAACGGAAGCCCACCTCAAGGAGGGAAAGCGGAAGGCGCCCACAGATGGAAAATGCTACAAGGGTTAGAGGTGGGTTTTCTTTCATTTTCCTAGAGTCAGGGAGCGGCAGTGAGTGGGTATTAGAGGGTTTCTTCAAATCAATTGGGAGTCTCCAACCGCAAGTGCGAAGAGGAGGCTTTGCATGCCCACCACACCAGCTTGGGCAGAAGCATGCTGGCCAAAGCTCACGGGGGTCAAAGCCACGATATGAGCACAAAGACACACAAGTGAGGCCTAACTGGTCGGCCTGGCCACTACAGCTTCACTTGGGTGTGACCCCAAAGCATGACTGTGTGGGATCAAACGTATAAGACTGGATAAAAAGGGGGAATTCGCAAGAGGGTATAAAATGCTCTTCTTGGACTCGTGGTCCCCGCAGACTCAAGATATCTAGGCCACCGCCATTTATAGAAATTTTTTGTTAGGACTTCGTGCCAGTTTTGCAGGTCCAGCTCATTTCCAGCTAACTGCCTATTCTATCACACCAGGCACACAATGGGCTTTCATGACTTGTATATTCCTTTTCTGAAAGGATTAATTTAATGTGTCAAAAATTATGTGTCTCAGCTAAGAAATGCCCAGATAACTGGTAACACATTATTTCTAGCTGATCTGTAAAGAAAAGAGATTAACCCTTCAACAGTAAACTGGGTAAAGAAGATTGCCCTCTCCAATGGGTTGGCCTCATCCAGTCAAAGGCCAGAATAGAATAAAAAGGCAGAGGAAAATCAAATTGAGCTGAGACATCAAACTCCTCCTGCCCCAACATCACAGCCCCCTCTTCTCCTGCCTTCAGTTTCCAGGACTTAGGTCAGCACCTACCTCATCCTCTGTTATAGCTTATGTCTAGATGTTCCCCTAAAGCCCCCTGTGGTCATAGGTGGGGATTTTACAGAGGTGGCTGAATCTAGAGTGTGATGTTGGGATTAAACACATGTGATTGCTAAATCAGTCCCCTGGCACAATTCTAATCCCAGTAACCTGGATACAATCTAAGGGACACAAAGACTCTCCTCTCCCTTCCTTACTGGTGCCACAGCTGTTCTCTGAGATGCTCCTCTGCCAAGCCAGCCTGTCTTGGAGCCAGCTGGTTATGGACTGAAACCTCTGCAAACTGTGAGCTAAACAAATCTCTCCTTTTTTAAGTTTGGATATTGGGTATTTTGTCTCAGCAAGGAAAAAAGCTACAAGGATATCCTTGTACCTCTGTCCTCAGGCCTTCAGCATGGACCTGAATTATACCGCCAACCTCCAGCTCCTGGGGGTGGGGGCAGAGGTGGGTGTTAGGTATGAACCTAAGCAATCGACAAGACCAGGCATTCTGAGGCAAGTAGAAGACTTATTGGGGGCATCAAGCAGGCTGGCTGTCTAGCAGACCAAGACAGTTGTGAACAAAGCCCGGACAGGAGACTTTTTATGATCTTTTAGGGAGGATGATTGCAGGCTGGAATAGCTGAGAGAAAGCTAATCTTGGCAGGGCTACCTGGTCTGTGGGGGACTTATAATATTAACAAAGGAGAGTTTCGTGGTTGCTTGCCCAGGTCAAAGTCAGGTGGACCTGTTCTGCAGTTTTGGGTTTGGCTCTGCATGGGGCCAACAGGGAGAAAGTTTGGGGGCAGGGTGCCTGGGAAACCAAGAGGGAGAGTGTTTGGGGTGAGGTGCCTGGGAAACTTTGAATCCTGACCTATCAGTAGGGACTGCTCAACCTCCGTAGTCACAAGCCAAGTCCCATAACAAATGTGTGTGCGTGTGTGCGTGTGTGTGTGTGTGTGTGTGTGTGTGTATTTGGGCTAAGAGATGCCCAGACAACTGGTAAAATATTATTTCTAGCTAATAATAGAAATAATAAATTCTATATGTACAAAACATCTATAGACATATAGATACATATCCCTCGACTTTGGTCACTCTAAATAACCCCAATACACATCTCTCTCTTCCAAAAGTGATTAATAAGTTCAGTTCGAAACATGGCAAACAGATTGCAGCAATGCAGCCAGTGAAAATGAAATGTGTATGAAAGGGATGGGAAGAGCTGACCCGCTGACCTCGGGGACGGTGACTCGGGCAAGACAGAATGAAGGAAAGTATCCGGTATGGGGAGAAATGTCACCCACTTGTGCACAAAGCAAAGAAATGTTAAAAGGAAAGTGCAGTCCAGTATCCCTGTGAGCTTCTAGTATGTTCCCAACAGTTCTTAAGAAATGTGTCGTTCATACCCCAGAGCAAGGGGCTTTGCCGGATAGCTCAGTTGGACAAATGCAGTCAGGTGCATAGAACCGTGGTTCGATTCCCAGCTCCACAAGCTGCACTAGACCTGCCCTTCAGGCAGCCTGAAGTAGGAAAAAAAACCTTCTCATGCCCCAGAGCAATAGTAGTAGGAGAGCCACTTTTATTCAAGTTCTGAATGTACAGAGATTTGCCTGAGGCCCTGCCAAAGTAAATGCAAGAGCCATCTTCAAACCCAAATTCGTTGTGCACACTGCCAAGCTTTGGCGGAGCATGCAAAGGAAAAATAAAAGGAAATAGAAACGGATGTGAACTAACATCCCAGAGTGCTCATCCATTGCAGAGAGGGCAGGGCAGGAGAGGGGAGGCAACCCAAATGGGCCACAGAGTAAACAGAACCTCCGGCAGCCTAGAAAGGCTCCAGGGCGCCCAGGGGCGGGGCGAGCGGCCCTTCCGGTTCCGGGCGCAAAGGCCCCACGTGTTCTGACCCGTTAGGCCCCGCGCGGCTTGGATCCGGAGCCGCCGTTTCGGCCCGGAGAGGGTGGGGAGAGCCCCGGGCAGGGGAGGAGCCGGCGGAGCTGCCTGAGCGGTGAGTGCTGGGGGCCGGGCCGGGCCGGTGCAGCCGCGCCGGGTAGGGCGAGGAGGAGGGGGAGGGACCGGAGACCCCGCCCCCCGGAGCCTGGGGTGCCGCGCCGTCCGGAGGAAGGGGTGGCGGCGGCGTGCCGGCGGGGCTCCGGCTCAGTGCCCTCCGCGGCTCCCGGCGGCCGGCGCCAGAACCTCTGGAGACGCGGACGGCGCTGCCGGCTCCCCGGCCTGCGAGCCGCCGCCCTCCGTCCCTTCCTGGGGCCTGCAGAAAGACAGCGGGTCCCTCCTATTGCCTCCCCGGAATCAAGGGAGGAGTGGTCGAGGCCCCTCGGATTTTCCGCAGCCTTTTCTTTCCCCGCCTCTCAGTTGCTCAAGAATCGCCCCAGCAGACACCCTGACCCCGGAGAGCCCCAACTCCCTCCACCACCAGCAGCCCCTCCAGCACACGCCTCACCTGGGATCGATCGTATCACCTGTGGTCTTGCTAGGTTTCGGAGCCATTCTGGTCTGTGGCTTTTCAGCTGTTGCTCTGACAGATCCCGAGCTTCCTTCCCTTTAAACTAGTGGCTGCTGTCTCCGCTCGCAGCATCCTCCCTGCCCCGCCCCTCACAGCCTTTTCTCAACACTAGCCTTTCCTCAGCAGCGGTAGACCATCTGCACCTTGTCTGCACGACTGTTTAATTTCTATGCCCTCCAAAAGCATAATAGATCCACAGCATAGTATGTCTTTTCCTTCTGAGCAGCAGATGCTCCTGTCTCAGACACTTTCATGACCTGTCTTCCGTGGCCTTCGTGCTGGCCGCCCCTAAGGGAAGCTGTCAGACCCAGCACTTCTTGAATTACTTTGGTCCTGCGGGGTGGGTGCTGTATCCTGGCTCTTGCTGGGAGGCTAGGCGTAGAACCGTTGCATTTTCTGTGCAAACTGTGCGGGAGACACCCAAGGCAGCTGCACTCCGAAGTCATAAAGAATGTAGTGGAGTACTTCGTCCTTCCTGCGTCCTCGCAGCTCTTCTTGCAAGCTGCCCCATGGGCCTTGAACCAGAAGGTGCGTACAGGAGGTGGTGGGCTTCTAGCTACAGCAGGCTTGCTGGTGCGAAGTCTGTGATGACAGAGCAGTTAGTGTTCGTGGCCATTTGTTGGGTAGTTTTCTGCTCTTACCGTCTAGCATAAGAGGGTGGGCAGGGTTGCAGGGAGGATGGGAATTTTTCCTTTTAGAACTAAAAGCCACAATTCATATTATTTCCCTTCTTTGCTCCAGCTGTATCCCTTTGTCTCTGTTAACTATATTGCAATAGACAGTCAGTTCAGGAGCACAGCAGGGCTTACCACAGTGTGAGGGACTCAGGCATTGCATTTATAGATGAGGTAAGTTACAGGCATACAACATTTTTCTCCAGTTAATTTGATGTAGATATGAAATAGTTCTAGACTTCCCTGGTTTCACTTTCTGTCCTGTCATCAACAAACCTCTTTATTTTGGCCAGTGCTAGAAAAGGTGGTTCTTTTCTGTACAAGCGTTCAAGTTACTTCCTTTGCAATAGGCAGTGGTTCTCAAGCTCATTGTCTTTTAAGTAGCTGCAAGTCTTGTTAAACCCAGGTTGCTGGGACTAGCCCCAGAATTTCTGGTAGTAGGTCTTCTCTGGAACCTGAGAGTTTGCATTTCTAAGGAGGCCTCTGGTGGCGTAGACAGTCCTGTGAATTCACCACTTAGAGAACCACTAACTTTGGCCAAACATTGTGGCATACACGTTGCAGAGATTTGGGGGCAGACCTTATGGGTAATTCTATGCTGGAAACTAGTAATCTGTTCTTTTGGAAGTAATTTTACACTATTCTTTTGTAAAAGCAAGTGTACTTTTTTAAAACAAGACAGTTCTGAGACTGGGCGTGATGTCGCATCCCAGTGCTTGGGAGGCTAAAAACAGGAGAATCACTATGAGTCCAATCTCTGTAGTGAAACCCTGTAGACTCTGTACTAAATACAAAAAAAAAAAACGATTCTGGGGCTGGGGATATAGCTCAGCAGCTTAAGTACCTGCCTGGCAAGCACAAGGTCCTGAGTTCGATCCCAAGAACTGTAAGAAAAAATTAATAAATAAAAATAAAACATAAAAAAAGTTGTGAATGTTTCATCTCTTGATGCCCAACTTAGGAGATAACTGATGAATTTTCCCTTTGCTTATCTTAATTCTCTTGATAGGTTTCTTATTTGTACATATAAATAATACACATATTGTAAATTTTCACTGTGAATTACCAAAATTGTTAAAAGTCCCTACAATTTCTTACCTGTGCTTTTTAAATCTCCCAGCACCTGAAGTAGTAGGAAATACGGACTTGAGGCTCCGTAGGTGTTTGTGGATTGGTTGAACCCCGTATTTCTGAGAACGATTTATTACCCAGAATCCCTGGCACCCATTGATACCTGAATCTTAAGTGTTTCTGCATCCAGGTTAAGGGAAGAGAAATAGTAAAGTCTTACTTAAATTCAATACAGGTTTATTGAGCTCCTTTTCCACAAACTCCTGTGACAGGCACAGGGAAGGCATCTTTACTTGGCAGGACTCAGAGATCACACACACTGAACTGTGACTTCACCAAGGAAGATTTCCAGGATTATTTTCTCCTTTGCTCATGACTTAGCCTACAGTCCAGACCTTGTTTCATCGGACCTCTGGTTCAACAGGTGGGATACCATCCTTCCTCACATATTCCTGGACAAAGCAGAAGAAAGCCACTTAGACCCACAGCGGGGTTAGCCAGAAACATAGTGACTGTTTACCATTTAAATCCTATTTTCTCCGAGAAATATAGAAGAACTTGAAGGAAGAAGAAAATGTATTGAGTACCTACCTGTGCCGGACTCTGTGCTGAGGGCTTTGTGTCTGTAGTTCCTGGCATCATCAGGAGACAGCAGTGTGAGCTGTGTTTCAAGGATGACAGACCTAGGAAAGTCATGTCACATGACTAATGAGTGTAGGAATTCAAAGTCAGGTCCAAGGTGCCTGCCTGTTACGTGAAGCATGGATGAGCATCTGTATGTGAGACACAAATCAACACCACTGGAAAATGCTTTAACAGTTTATTTCATTTCTCTTCCAGGACAGTGAGAGGAGCTGCTAAAACGTCTTAGTTGGCCTGAGCAAGCAGCCTGTTTAAATTTCTCTATTATGTCTTTAGTAAAGATAGCAATATCTTCTAGGACTAATAATTTGAATCTAGTCACTCTTTTCTTCTAAGAAAACTTTGTCAAGTTTAGTATCTAGAAAGACCTCCTCAACTTAGTGCTACATGAAAACAGTGAGAGGCTGGGGAGATGGCTCAGGAGAATAAGCGCTTCCCTGGCAAGCGCAAGGGTCTGAGTTCAATCCCCCATTCCGCCAAAAAAATAAAAATAAAAATTTAAAAAAATAAATAAAGTCCAAATCCCTCATCTTGGGGGCCTGGCCCTAGCTGAGTCCTTTAAGTGGCTGCTTCCACAAAGCTGTCATCCTCAGGTTGCTGTACTTCGATCCCCACAACACTCCAGCCAGGCAAGCATGCCCTGAAGGCATTCGGAGCAAAATTAAAAAAAAAAAACAAGAAAACAGAGTTTCTAGTCTAGTTCATGAGCCTTGGGTCTTGGACTTTTAAGACAATAAATGATCTTCTCTTAAGGCAAAAGACCCTATATATCAATTCATTTATCTCCCCTTGCCTTAGAGGGGGAGAACATGGGTAGAAAGGGAAAGTGTTGGGAAGCTATGTACATAATCAGTACGATGGTTGCATTATATTATTTCATGTCTACTTTTGTGCTCATTAACGTTAATTCAATGCTCAAAGGAAAACCACTTCATTTTCCAATGCCTAATTTTGTGTGACTTGCACTTGGAGCACCTCCAGGGAAACCCGAAGATTCATCATGGTTTCATTTCTTCTGAAACCACTAAGAGTTCTATTCAGAGTGGAAACAATACATGTTCTTTCTTTGTTTGTCCACCACACTGTTCTCTGGCCAAATGAATAAGGATTAATACAACATGGTGTCTGACCTTTTAAGGACAGAGGATAAAAACTCAGTCACTGTTCCCTGCATTCATCACAGATGGCGTGAGACCTGTTGTGTGCCCGCCATGGGACAGGGCGTGGCATGTCCCAGGCCTTGGAGCCTTATAGATCCCTAGATCCTGCAGCCTGAGGAGCAGTTTTTGCAACACAATTCCTGCTGTATCCAAGGAAGCTCAGTTCCTTTGGCAGTGTAGTTCAAGTGTTTCAGGGAAGGATCTGAAAACAAGAGGTCAGAGAATGAGTAGCATTAAGCAAATGAAGGAGGTAGAAAAGGGCATTTCAGATGGTGTAACCCTCTTCAGAAAAGCCCATTGAAGGCAAGAGAAGGGACACCAGGGACAGTAATTCAAGCAGCAGCTATCAGTAGGAGTGACAGTTGGGGGAGAAAGAAATGACACTTGAAAAGAGATGCAAAAGGCTTGGTGCAGCCAGTGGAGCGGGTACCCAGGTTGCTCCAGAAGTATTTAGGTGGCTTCTAACAGTAGGGGAAATGGAATAGAAGGAAACATCTTAGAAGGGATGAGCCCAAGGCTGTGTCTTGAAAGACAAGCAGAGTTTACCCTAATCAAAAATACAAAGAATGGGCAGCATGTTAGAGTGCAGCAAGTTTAAATATCACATTGCTCCTCTTGTATGAGAAACCCAAGAGGTAAATAAGCATACAGAGGATATGAGCATATACACTGGGAATGGAAAGAGCACAAGAGACAAGGAGGGGCAGAGGGAAGGAGAAAGAGAAGCAAAAGACAAAAACAAATGAAGCTTGCATAAGTGGGGAGGAGAAGCAAATGGAAAGAAAGGAAGAATGGTGATATGTTCTGTACAGGTACAAATTGCCTGATGAATGTGATCGATCTCTGTGGCAAACACATAGCAATAAAAAGAATTATGTTTTTAAAAAGATAAATGTAAGAGCCAATGGAGTGAGGGGAGAATTGGCAAACCCATTGTGTGTGCGCACCTGGTATGTGTGTGACTTTGTATCTTTGTATCTGACTAAGGATTAGAGAGGAGAGCAAAGGGAACAAAGTGAAGGTCACCTAGCAGATCCCATTTAGAAGTGTGTTCACCTATCAGAAGTGATTGAAGAGTCTTAAAGGGCCAGATTTGCTGAGAGATCTCAGTTTGGTGATATAGTGGCCAGCAGCCTGAGACAGGCAGCTCACATTTGATGGCAGCGGTAGTAATTCTGATGAGAACCCGAAAGAACATAAAGGAAAGAATGCAAAAGAATCCGTTCACAAGAAATTCCAACAGCCCTTGCAGCCTTTGCCAGGCACCTGGCTGCTGGGGAGACCAGTTACAGGAGGTCAGCAGAGCCTAATTATGGTATACGCAGGCTGTGAAGAGAAAAAGGGTAAGATATGGGGCCTGAAAAGTAGGTTAGGGTTGCCTATGAAGCAACTTCATGTGCCATAGCCAGGATTTGGGATTAATCTTACTAACAAGTTACCCTTTGTAACTACTGCATAAATGTTGGAACTGTAATTTAGAGAGTAGTTGACACTACAAAGTGCCATCACTTTTCTAAGCACTTCGAACATAGTATTGCAGTTCATCTTCATCGCAACTCTTGGGTGGATATCATTATTGTCTCCATTCTATAGATGGGGAAACCAGTATAAATAAAAACTTGCCTCTGGGCCCACACTACAAAGCATAGAGCCCAGATTTAACCCAGGCAGTCTGACTTCAGACTGCCACTCCTGACATCTTACCCAGTATTTCTCAACCAGGGGTCACAGTAGTACAGCAGGTAGCATTTCTAAAGATCCAGTTGCCTAGGCTGTTCTCAAATGGGGCATGACAAAAGCTCCAGGGTAGTTGTTTGCACTTGCTCACAGTTGAGTACTGGAAGGAGCCCAGTTAGGAAGTCCTGCAATGTGCAGGTGAGAAGTGGACAGAAGTCAGCCCTTTGGAAGACAATGGAGGAAACAGATGTAGGGATTAAGGGGTAGAATTGGTTCAGTGAGCTGTAAGCTATGGGAAAAACTGAATCCAAAGACCACACAAGCTATGTTTATTTAGCAAGTGCGATCTCAGCCAAGGAAGAAGGGTGGGCTTGGGATTAAGAACGTTGAATTTTTAACACTTAAGAATCCAGAGGTCATCAAGTTAAAACTAAAGCCATCAGCAAAAAGGAAGTAGAAAAAGCCAGTTTAGAGATGAGATGGGATTGGTCGTGTTCATGGCATAGGTAGGTATTCAATGTTTTCATATGGCATATGAACCTTGCCTAGAAAAGGGAGTATTGGACCATAGCATAAATCATACATTAGCCCATCCCAGTGATGTTTCGTTGTAAAAATAAAAGAAGGCTATGGCAATTGGGGAAAAGAGGGTTCACTCATTTGAAGATAAAAAGGATTTTGATTAAAGTCAGGACTGTTATCCCTGTGCATAATTCTAGGCTTATCCTGTTGTTTTACTTCTCCCTTTAGGTCCCTGGGGAGAAACTCCTTGAGGTGTCCAGGTTGAGACAAGGAGGGGTCCCAGTGTGAGAACTAGATGGTGTGAAGCCATCCCAAAACCAGGAAATGGCTACAGCCTTGGAACCAGAGGACCAGGATCTTTGGGAAGAAGAGGGAATTCTGATGGTGAAACTGGAAGATGACTTTACCTGCAGGCCAGAGTCTATCCTACAGAGGGATGACCCCGTGCTGGAGACCTCGCACCAGAACTTTCGACGTTTTCGCTACCAGGAAGCAGCAAGCCCTCGAGAAGCTCTCATCCGGCTCCGAGAACTTTGTCATCAGTGGCTAAGGCCAGAGAGGAGGACAAAGGAGCAGATCCTAGAGCTGCTTGTGCTGGAGCAGTTCCTCACCGTCCTGCCTGGAGAACTGCAGAGCTGGGTGCGGGGCCAGCGGCCAGAGAGTGGCGAGGAGGCAGTGACACTGGTGGAGGGTTTGCAGAAACAGCCCAGGAGACCAAGGCGGTGGGTGAGGAGGGGGAGTCCTGATCTGTGTGATGTGGCGGGGGACTGTCTACCCGAAAGCCGAGTTAGTGGGGAAGAGGTGCAGGCCCCCCAACAACTGTCCATTAATCAGCCCTGCCCTTGGGTTGCTCCTAGGTCCTTGAGTCCTGTAGGGCAGAGGTGTGTGTGTGTGTGTGTGTGTGTGTGTGTGTGTGTGTGTGTGTGTGTGTGTGATTTGTCTGGGTGGTGGCTTTGGTGTTCTTTCTTTGGATGTTGAACCCCAGGTTCCTAGGGAAGCCAATTTTATGACTTCCTCTAAAGTCTCCTAGACCCTTAATCTTAGCCCTGCTTCCAGAACAGTAAGTCAGGAAGGCAGATGGCAAGAGGACTTCAGGCAGGGTAGGTTGAGAGGGGAAGGATGAGGGAATCTCAGCATCCTGGGCAATAGGAGCAAGGGTTGAAGCCAGGGAGAAAGAAGTACAGCAGGACAGCACCTGAGTGCCCTTGCCTTGTCCTGGTAAGCATCATTTTCAGTTGTTTGCAGCCCTGGTAGAACTAAGCCTTCTGCTCTACTGGATCCATCTGGGAGTTTTTCCATAGGTGGATTCTAAAGTGAGCTCTGATGATAACCTGGAATTTCTTCCTGACGCCATGGTGACTGGAAGTTGGAATTCTTCCCAGGTGACCGTCCACGTTCATGGACAGGAAGTCCTGTCAGAGGAGACAGTGCACCGAGGGGCAGAGTCTGAATCCCCCAGTGAGCTACAGGACCCAACACAGCCTTCGACCCTTGAGCAGTCACATGAGGAAACCAGCCAGACCCCAGATCAAGGGACACCAGAACGGCAGAGCCAACACTGTGAAGAGGAGTGCCAGCCCCTGCAGGAGAACGGTGGGAAGCCTGAGCAGGAAGGAAGTGGGGACAGGGAGCAGGGGATCTGCAGACTGCAATGGAGAGAAACCAGAGAATCCCAGATGTTGAGAAGAGCTAGCGCTAGCTACAGAGCCACCAGAATGGGCCAGGCCTACATAGGGATGTTTTGGGTTGCTCTTGGTGTTCTGATCAGCTTCTAGATAGGGATACCTTAGATGAGTTTCCTGATTTCTGTAGCGGCAGTAATAGCTCCCTTTTGCCAGAGATGATGGGCAGTTCTTGGGTTTTTGCCATTTATCTTGGTGCCTGATTGCTTGTCTTCTTCCCTCATTAGAGGTGCCAGTGCTCCAGGACCGAGACCCTCCTGCAGAGAGGAGCTCTGGAGACCCAGACATGGTTGCCCTTCTGACTGCTCTGTCGCAGGTACGCCTCAGCTCCCTCTGTGCAGCCGAGTTTGTTGGACAAGCTATTGAGTGTTAACTAACAGATTGGGTGGAATGCAGTTACCACTCTCCTTGGCAATTTTAAGTTTTCAATTCCACAGGTACATGGAAGGGTAGAGAAAATGATGAGATACGTTGTAGTGGTCTCCATGGGATCTATGGACTCCATAGCCTCTTTGTCCCTGACCAAAAGGACTAACAAAAATGAGATTATTTTATACCATTCCAATAGAGCTTTGAAGCTATTTTGGGGGAATTTTTTTTTTTTTTTTTTTTTTTTGGTTGACTGAGAATCAAACTCAGGAGTTGTACTTGCCAGGCAGGTGGTTGTACCACTGAATCAACTTGCCAGGCTGGTGATTGTACCACTGAGTCATAACGCCAGCTCCTAAAGTTGTTAAATGAAGGGGCTTTGGCTTTGCTTTTAGGAGTAAATGAGCTATTCTTTTGTTAACATGGTTGGCCTCACTGTCATTTATAAGGAATTCATGTTTAGAACCCTAAAACTAAACCATGTGGCCAGAGATGGGGAGAGAGAATTCGTGCAAGGCTTGACATTGTCTAGCTGAGGAATGCTATAGAACGTAAGTGAAAGGATGATTATATGGGTTTAATTAGGGACAGCTTTTAGGAAAAGATGGATTTTTGCAGAGATGAATGTATCATTAAAACATCAAATAGCTGAATGATGAACTTCCTTGAGTTTTAAATAATACTCTACCCAAGAAAAGGAATATAGGCTAGTCCTCAGGGAAGTTAGGGAGCTGAAGAGCAGAGAGGCTGGCATAGAGCTGTGCTTTCCCAGAAGTAAAAAGCCAGGAAGTGAGACAAGCGGAGCACCACCTCCTGAGAGGAGGCCTCATACTCTATTAAATACAGCTCCTTTGCTCTCCTGGATAGATTCTGCTTATATGTACAGTTTCATCCAGGAACAAACTGAGTATACCAGAAGCATCACATTCTGATTTGATCCTTGTGTTGATTCAGGGACTGGTAACATTCAAGGATGTGGCTGTATGCTTCTCCCAGGACCAGTGGAGTGATCTGGATCCCACTCAGAAAGAATTCTATGGAGAATATGTCCTGAAAGAAGACTGTGGAATTGTGGTTTCTCTGTGTAAGGAATTTCATGTGTTTCTAGAGCATTTTAAGCACAGAGATCTTTTCCTCTGAGAAATTTGAGGGGATCTTAGACCTTAGATTGTATGCACTGGAATGTCTTTTATGCTTCCCCACCAGTGAAAGTAAATGCTAATTAGGTGAAGCAGATGGCATCCTTCCAGGTTAGAAGGAAGAGATTAAATGCTTGGAAACATGGATGGAAACTTGTCAAAAGTCTGTAGTTATAGCCTTAGTACGGAAATATTTGAGGTAAGCATATAAATTATCAAACAAACAAAAGAGTGACAGATAATCTGCTTTCCTAAATATGAAGGGGTTTACCCTCTTATTTTTGAAGTAATTATTGAGTTGCAGGTGAAAGGCCCAAGAAAGACAGTGTTTTATTAGAAGAAACCAAAGTACTGACCAACTATGTTTGGTTTACAACCTGCCAAACAGAAAAGATATGTTCTTAACTCAGGGAAGTGTTGAACTAGTCGTGATGTCCTGTTCTCCCTTTCTTGAGCAGCATTTCCAATCCCCAGACTAGATGATATCTCCCAGGTTAGAGAAGAAGAACCTCAGGTCCCAGGTATCCATGAACCTCAAGAGCCTGAAGAGCCAGAAATCCTGAGTTTTACCTACACAGGTGAGGAATGACAGAAAGGGTCTTACCACTCTAAGTGGGCAGTTCCTCTAGCCAGTGCTTCTCTTTCCTCCTAGGACCCCCTCATTGGTTCTTTCAGCATGTCAGCCATTGCTGTCATCTCCCTCTGAAAGCCAGACTCTTCTGTCATTTTCCTCGTTACCCTTCTCAACATTTATTTGAGGGCTAGGCAACGCAAAGAAATATGAAACAACTAAACCTCAGAATCACTGCTATGCCATTTCCTTCACAGCTCTGAAGCCCTTAATCCTCAGTCTTGCACTTGTATACTGAGGGTGATGATATTGACCCATGCCAAGTTTTATTGATGTCATAACATATATGAGTATGTCTGGGCCATGATGGGCATGCAATTGGTTATTTCCTTCTTTTCCCACTTTACATTTAGGAAATACATGCTTTTGTCAATATGGTCTTACCCTCAAAACCCTTTTTAAAATCACCCTCATTGTATAGAAAGCATTGTCACCACTGTAATTCTCCTTTTTCCTTTCACCTTTTCTGCAGGAGACAGAAGTGAAGATGAGGAGGAGTGTGTTGAGCAAGATCTAAGTTTGGAGGATACACATAGGTCTATCTTAAGAGATCCTGAAATTCACCAGACTCCAGACTGGGAGATCGTCTTTGAGGATAACCCAGATAAAACTAATGAAAGACGATTTGGTACAAATATTTCTCAAGTTAATAGTTTCATGAATCTTCAGGAAACCATACCTGTACACACCCTGTTAGGGAGGCATCATGACTGTACTGTATGTGGGAAAAGCTTCTCATGTAACTCTCACCTTATTAGACACCTGAGAACTCACACAGGAGAGAAGCCCTATAAATGCATGGAGTGTGGAAAAAGTTATACACGGAGCTCACATCTTGCCAGGCACCAAAAGGTTCACAAGATAAACACATGTAAATACCCACTGAATCGGAAGAATGTGGACAAGACCTCCCCACTGAGCCAAGCTGAGAGAACACCATCTGTGGAGAAACCCTATAAATGTGATGATTGTGGAAAACATTTCCGCTGGGCTTCAGACCTTGTCAGACATCAGAGGACACATACAGGGGAAAAACCTTTCTTCTGTACTGTTTGTGGCAAAAGCTTTAGTCAGAAATCTGTATTAACCACACACCAAAGAATCCATCTTGGAGACAAACTCTACTTGTGTGGAGAGTGTGGAAAGGACTTCAGTGATCATAGGCAGTATCTGGCCCACCAGAAGACACATGCAGCTGAGGAGCTGTACCTCTGCAATGAATGTGGGCGCTGTTTTAACCACAGTGAAGCATTTTCTAGGCACCTGAGAGGGCATGCTTCAGCAAAGCAGTGTCAGTGCACCGAATGTGGGAAAAGCTTCAGTCGGAGGGACCATCTGGTCAGGCATCAACGTACACACACCGGGGAGAAACCATTCACTTGCCCTACCTGTGGGAAGAGATTTAGCAGAGGATATCACTTGATCAGGCATCAGAGGACCCACTCAGCAAAGACCTCCTAGTGAGGTACCCATGTGAGAACATCCGTATTCAGCCATCCCCCAGAATGGGGCAGGAGAAGCTCTCAGGGCAGCCTGGAAAGACCCTTTCTAAGGCATCTCCTGAACCAGCCAGATCTTACTTAACCTCTTCCCACCATCAAATAGCAACTTCAAGCAGAACTTCTAACCTTGTTCTGTGCCATGAGCTGTTTTGCCCAAAGTACAACTTAAATTGAGGCTTCTACTTCACTGTAGTGCTCCTGCCTCTACCTCATGAGTGTTGAAGTAGGAGAATTAGAAGACTGAAGAGGTTGTCATCATTCTGTTTTCCAAATATGCTGTTACATATCCTCAAAAGTATCAACCTCATGTTTAAGGTGGCCAAGGACAGCCCTTAGGTCTGGCAAGGGCCTTCCTGGGCTCAAATCTTAAAGCACACAGCTGTGAACTTGAGACAGGAGATTTGCATCCTGATGACTTTGCAACAAACACAGGATAACGTACAAATCCTTTACTGTCTAACTCACTTGTTCACCATGCACTTTCTTTTGATTCTAGGGAGAAATGGGAAAAAGTTCAAGGACAGAACTCTCACGACTGCTTTATTTGTACCTTGACAAGCTGCTCCCTTCACCATCATCAGAATGATATCAGATGGCAGCCACTGCCAGAATGGAAGGCCTGGTCAGAAGCCTGCTTCCTTGTTTGTTTTTCCTGTGTTCAACCTTCTTACTATTTAATAGTCTGGTCCCTACAACTTCTGTTATTGAGATGTAACACTTGAGGGGTTCCATAAAGTATAATTAAATCATGAAATCAGCCATGGGGGCATAAACCTGTAATCCCAGCATATGAGAGGCTGAGGCAGGAGTATCATTGTGAGTTCAAGACAAGTCTGGGCTACAAAGTGAGCTCATGGCCAGCCTGAACTGCATGGTGAGACCCTGTCTCAAAAAGAAAAAATGATGAAATCATCTATATTTACACATGTGTACAAGCCCACCTTTCTCCCCTTTATCACAATATAAAGGCTTAACATTTACAGAATTTTGATTGGATGGGTCACTTCCTTTACATGAAGAAAAATGGAAAAGATCCAATATTACACTAGAGAAAAACAGGGAAAGCCTAATGCTGCTGGCGAGATCATCAGGACTATTCTGATACTCCCCATCGTCCCTGTAATTTCCCTGAGGACAGGAAATCATGAACGCTGCCACCTGAGGCATTGTGGAGTCGCAGGAGTAAATGGCTCTCATGTATCTGTACTGTTTGCTTTTTCTTATGTGATTTCATATGTGACAAATAACTAAATAGTATTGCCTCATGACCCAAAGGTCTCCTTGCCTTTCCAGCGTTCAATGGAAAGGAGGCTGAATAAACTTCACCTGCACTGATTATGGGAGTGGGCAAGGGCTGGAGAGGTAACCTCCATAACTGGAGCACAGGGTATGGGAATAAAGCATGAGATGGGAGACAGTTTTCTGTGCCTCATTTCTTCTGTTTGTTTCACAATGCACTGTGTGCTACATGTACACCAGAGAAATGGAAATGGGGGTTAACAAGCCCCCAGGGCTAACAGCCCAATAAAGTTCCTGTTTTGGCCAGTAGCAATATTCTAATGAAATCCAGTTTTCATACCTCTCAGCCATCATCCTTCTGAAATAATACTAGCAGGGAGGTCCCTGCTTTCTGGCATCTTCCATCCATTCCCTTTCTAAAACAGGATTCTAATGCTTCTGAAGGTCCATCTTATGAATCAACCTAGAACAGAGTAGTTCCCTGAAGATAAGGCTTGGCATGGTTAGTGTATCCACAAGTGGAACTTGTGTGGATGCCATGATCCCCAGCCCTGAGACTGCAGAAGAAGCTCAGGCATTTCACAATTCAGGCTGGGAGAAATATCACAACATCAAAAGATAATTTCTCTTACCTCATAATGACCATTTGTAGAAGTTGAGATGCTGGAGGTGACTTGGCTTTTCTCTAATCCACACAAAGTAATTGAAAATGTTAATGCTATGTAAGGGAAGAGACTGGTTAAATTTTTTTGAACATTAGTGTGGAATTTCCATTGATGATTCCCTGCAAATTACATATGCTGGCACTAAGCTCTGGCCCCTTTTGTAAGTCAAGTGTTTACTGAGGCTCCTAGAAAGAAGTGCTAGCTCCAGATCTTAAAAAACTATGTAGCAGCACGGGTTGCAAAAATGGAAGCAGTGCAGCAGACCATAAAGAGGTGGGGCAGAGCATGTGAGCAGTGGTATCTAGCATGCTTCAATAACATTTTCCCCATTTCCTCCCAAGACATCAGGACCCTAATGCTGAAGGTGCTTCTAAATAAATGTTTCTGACAAAGAGGGTTTCACATGTAATAATTTTAGTCAATAAAATGTTCAGATTGTTGGACTCATCACTGAGTCACCTGCCTCTCAAAGTGGCTTACCAACATTATGAGTTCTGAGTCACCTCTCCTGGAGTTGGATTCCAGGTTCTTAAAGAATTCTACAAGACAAGCCAAAAATGCTGCTAACAATTTATTTGAAAAGTCAGGAGTGAATGGGGTATGGGAGAAACCAGCTCTGCAGAGCAAACGAGGAGAAAAAAAAAGATTAAAAATAGACACTGGCAGCTGAAAACCTGGGCTACCATGAGAAGGCAGGACAGCATGATTGTTCTGGCATCTGTGTCCTTATACTGTCCAGATCTTAAGGAAATATGTGAGAACATCTGCTTACTTAGGGCCAGAGGAGCAGTGCTGATGTCCCCTCTCTCAGGCTGATGTCAGGTCTAGGCCATCTGTTATGGTTTGTATCTAGTTGTCCCCCACAAAGCCTCACGCAGTGGAGGGGTGGTGGGCTTCTAGAGTGTGTAATTCATGATCCAATGCTAGGATTATGGGCGTGAGCGCTATACCCACCCTGGGGCAGAGAACCTGAATGTAGCATAAGGAAGGGAGAGAAGCTTGCTCTCTGCCACTGCAAATGCTCCACTGCCGCTGCGCCTCCCTTTTTGTTCTTGCTGTTTTACAGTTTTCCACCACCATAAACTGCTGCCCTCTGCCATGTGCCTTTCTGCCTTGGAACCAGCTGATTACGAACTGAAACCTTCACAAACTTTGAGCTAAGTAAACCTTTTCTGCCTTAATTTTGGGTTCTGGGTACTTGGTCTCAGCAATAATAGAAAAATAACCAAGTCAAATAATTTGACTGGCCAAAGAAATGCAAAAAAGCACAACAAAAGCTGAGAAAATAAAATTGATAAGCCCCTAGCTAACCTCATCAAAAAGAGGAAAGAAAAAATTCAAATACAAGCAATAAGGAATGAAAAGGGTGTAATTACCACACACCCAGTGGAAATTCAAAAGATTATCAGTAGCTACTTCGACAATCTTTACTCTCACAGAACAGAAGACACAGAAGAAATGGACAGATTTCCTAGAAAGGTACAAATTAGCAAAACTGAATCAACAAGATAGAACCACTCTCAATAGCCCAATAACAGCCAATGAAATACGAGATGTAATAAAAAAAAAAAAACCTGACAAAGAAAAGTCCAGGTCCTGATGGAATCACAGCTGAATTCTACAAGAAATTTACAGAAGATGTAGTCCCTGTACTCCTCAAACTCAAACGAAATTGAAAAGGAAGCAATCCTCCCAAAATCTTTCCTGGATGTAAGTATTTACTGATACCAAAACCAGGAAAAGATGCAACTAAAAAAGAGAACTACAGGCCAATCTCCCTCATGAATATAGATGCAAAAATTCTCAATAAAATCCTAGCAAATAGAATGCAGCAAATCATCAAGAAGCTCTTACAACATGACCAGGTAGGATTCATCCCAGGGATGCAAGGATGGTTCAATATTTGAAAATCTATCAATGTAATACACTATATCAATAGACAGAAAACTAAAAACCACATGATCATCTCAATTGATGCAGAAAAGGCTTTTGACAAAGTCCAACACTCATTCGTGTTCAAAGTCCTACAGAAAATTGGAATAGATGGCCTCTACTTCAATCTCGTAAAAGCCATTTATGAAAACCCAACAGCTAACATAATCCTAAATGGGGAAAAACTGAAATCTTTTAATCTTAGATCGGGTACAAGACAAGGATGTCCTCTATCACCACTCCTATTCAATATAGTTCTGGAATCATTACCTACAGCCATTAGACAAGAGAAAGAAATAAAAGGAATAAGAATAGGCAAATAAGAAGTTAAATTATCTTTATTTGCAGATGACATGATACTTTACTTAGAAGACCCAAAAAACTCCACCAAGAAGCTACTAGAATTAATACAGAAATTCAGTAGCATAGCAGGAAACAAAGTCAGTACTCAGAAGTCAATAGCATTCCTCTACACAGATAACAAACACACTGAGAGGGAAATTAGAGGAAACAATACCTTTTATAATAGCACCGAGGAAAATGAAATGCCTTGGAATTAATCTAATCAAAGAAATCAAAGATCTTTTCAAGGAAAATTACAGTACTCAAAAAAGAGATCATAAAGGATTTCAGAAAACAGGAAGATATTCCATGCTCCTGATAGGAAGAACCAACATTGTGAAGATGGCCATACTCCCAAAATTGCTGTACAGATTTAATGCAATCTCTATCAAACTACCACCTACATACCTCATAGACCTAGAGAAATCATTCCTTAAATTTATTTGGAACCAGAAAAGACTGAGAATAGCAAAGGCAATCCTGGCCAACAAAGACAAGGCAGGAGGCATGACAATTCCTGACTTGAAATTATACTACAAGGCTATAGTAGTATACTATAGCATGGTACTGGCAACAAAATAGACCAGAGGACCAATGGAATAGATTACAAGATGCTGAAGCCCCTACAAACACACTCAGCCACCTTATCTTCGACAAAGGGACCAAACATACTCACTAGAAGAAAGATAGCCTCTTTAACAAATGGTGCTGGAAAAACTGGCTCTCTACATGCCAAAAACTAAAACTTGACCCAGGTCTATCACCATGTACTAAGCTAAAGTCAAAATGGATTAAAGATCTAAACATTAAAACAGAAACACTAAATCTGGAAGAGAAAGTAGAGGAACTCTTGAAGACATAGGGGTAGGCAAAGAGTTCATGAACAAAAATCAAATCACACGGGAAACACTTGAAAGAATTAACAACTGGGAACTGCTCTTTTTGAGAAGTTTTTTCACGTCAAAAGAAATTACCAACAAAGTGAAAAGACAACCCACAAATTTGGAAAAAATCTTGATAAATAAGTACTCAGATAAAAGTCTGCTCTCTAGAATTTATAAAGAACTAAAAAACACTAGGGCCCCAAAATTTAAAGACCCAGTCCAGAAATGGACATCCAAGGTGAACACACACTTCTCAGAGGATGAAATTAAAGAAGCGAGTAAATATATGAAAAAATGCTCCACATCACTAGCCATCTGTGAAATGCAAATTAAAACAACATTGAGAGATCATCTCACCCCAGAAAGAATGGCTATCATAAAGAAATCAACAACAAATGTTGGAGAGGCTGTGGGGAAAAAGGAATCCTTCTCCACTGCTGGTGGGAAAGTAGACTGGTGCAACCATTATGGAAATCATAACAGTTTCCATAACATTATGGAAGTGTGGAGACTCCTTAGAAAACTAGGACTGGAAATCCCATTTAAACTAGCTATTCCTCTACTGGGAATTTTCCTGGAGGATCTGAAAACATCATATCATAGTAATAAATGTGTACCTATGTTTACAGCAGCACAATTTGTGATAGCCGTACCTTGGGAACAACCAAGATGTCCATCACCTGAGGAATGGATGAAAAAGATATGGTATTTTTATACAATAGAGTATTATTCAGCTATAAAGAATGATAAACTC